GACATTGGACAACTTTTAGATAAGTCATTAAACGGGTTTTTTTTGCTCCCCCCAGACACATTCCTCATTGACAGAAATTGAGAAGCAAGTGATTGATTAGGCGACTCAATAAAAGTAATGACTGAATAATTCCAAATAAAATATATGACTTGAGCCATTTCTAGATGTTTGCTGAGCAACTTTCATATTCAAATATGACACTCTTTCTCAAACACTTAACATTACTCCATTTTCTATATTCACGAGAATAGAAATAAATACGTATTTAAGTGTTTTCAACATTAATTACTTTATGATTATGCATTTACTTTAGTTCAGTGCAGTAAGCTAGTTGTATTTGTGGGGCCTGGTAGGAATTTCACGCAATCTGAGTCGACTTGACTTGAGTTGGTTTGGGTTGCGCTGATGCTGCATGCAGCATGCAGCACGCAACTCTTTTTTCTTTTGCAGTCATCCTTTATTGTGCCTGGGGCACAGCTTTGTCTCAAAATAAACAATGAAACGCCTCTGTCAGAGGCAGTCAGAGAGTCTTTTGTTGTTGGTTATCTGCTGCTGTGTTGCTGGTTGTTTTGCACTCTTTGCTGCACTCTTTGCTGCACTCCATCCCACTCCACTCCACTCCACTCCTCTGCTCACCAGTTCACCCCACACCGACAACACTCGCCATTTGCGGCGTGATAAGCTTTGATTACATGCCAGACAGCAACTGATCAGCCCCAGTGAGTGGAGCCAACTTGCAGCGCAAATTAAGTGGCAATGGAAAAACATAAGAAAATGTATAAGAAACAGCACATGAAGTTGAAGAAGTTGAGAAGAGAAGAGAAGAGTAGAGAAGAGAAGAGAAAATTCTATAAATATTGCTTGTGCTTGTGTTTGTTGAAACTGCTGCAGTTTGGGGTCGCGCTGTGGCGGGGGTGCATGCAGCAATGCAGCAATGCAGCAATGCAACAAGGCAGCAATTGCAGCAATGGGAAACTTGGCGAGCGAGTTATTTCCAAGAAATTTTGCAGCAACAATGCCTTGTGACACGCATTTCCTGTGCCTGTGCCTGTGCCTCTGCCTGTGCCTCTGCCTCGGCCAGTGGCAGGCAGTGGCAGCGTCAGGCAGACAGGCTATAAAATATATCTATCAGATACACAGACACACGGCTAGAACTTGTTTGGTGGCTTTTGCGCGTGCGCAACACACATTTCCGTTAGATCAGCAGCCAAATAGCTCCCAAGCCCAAGTGGAGATCAATGGTCGCAGCAGCCGCGACAACAACAACAACAACAGCAGCAGCAGCAGCAGCAGCAGCAGTAGCGGCTGCTAATCGAATCTGTGAGCAGAGCAAGAGTTAAGCATTTTTAATTGTTGAGGAGGAGAACGCAGAGAACGCGCTTAGAAATTGTGAATCATTGAGGCTCATTGACCCATTTGGAAAGCTACTTACTGCCTGTCCAAGTCGATTTTTTGAAAAGTAGTTGAATACTTGGACATCATTAAAATATATATGTATATATATAAATATATATATATATATATATATATATCCCCAAATGGTCGAGTGACGAGTTTTTTGGGCGCGACACACATTACGGTACAGCAGTGCCAGCAGTGCCAGCAGTGCCAGCAGCATTGCCAGAGGCCGCATTTTGAGATCGAACCTGTTTTGCCTAGCAAATTAGCGACAACAACAACAACAACAACAACAACGAGCAATGAACAAAACAACAACAGTTGCTGCGAATATTTTTGTGGCACAATACACAAAAAAAACAGAAGAAGAAAAGAACAAACCCAAAAAAAATCGCATAACCGTAACGAGTATTAAATAGCGAATTGACCCAAATCGTTTGGGTGTTAGAATTGTGCCTGAAATATCAAAGTGAGTTCTTTGGCGTCTAAAAACGAGAAAGTTCCTCAATTTAGCTTTTAGTAGAAAAGGGGCAAACTCTTGTATCTTGTAAATGCTAATGCCTGACATGTTTGCTTGTTCGATATGGATTTGGGTTAAGTGCGCACATAGACTTAAGATTAATGAGCCACTGCTTAGCATTTAGGGTCCATGGCTTTTCACTGATCCAATTCTCAAAACGGAATATCAAATGTCTTTCAAATGCAATCAGAAATCCGAGCAAGTTATGAACGTTGTCACATTCTGCAGCTACCAACAGCTACCTGCCCGACTGTTGGATACTCTATCCATAAAGCACAATTGTTCGCTCTCAGTTAGATGATATTGCTCATCGCTTTGGCAAACCATTAATCTACACAAATCTTTTGGTCATTTGTACTAAAATTGGTACATCTTCAGCAGGGGTTTTAGCTTTTAATTGTATTTGTATATTAAACCGTAGTAATGTCCACCAATAGCACAGTAAAAGTCACAGTCAATTTAGTAATTTGTTACTTTTTTTGCCAAACAAAATACGTATCTGAGTTGTGAACTATCTGCATATAAAATCTATGACCACAAACTTCTATAGCAATAGTCGTAAATATAGAAATAGTTGTATGTCATTTAGATGAAGAAAACTCGTATGCCTCCGTGTGTGGCACTCATGTGTACAGGATATAAAAAAAACTGGAGATTTTAAGTCTGAATGCAGCTGAGATGAGGCGAGTGCAAATCATCAGAGATTTATAACAACTTCAGGCACAAACACACAAACACTTTTTATAGATACACATAGATGCACATATGCACACAGATACACTTGCAGATACACTTGCAGATATGTAATCCTTGCATATTTCAAGAGCCCCGCAGTCAACCCAAGCTCTGGGATGTGTTTCTTGCCAAAAAAAAAAAAAAAAAAAAAAAAATATTACGGAAAAAATTATAATAAAATGAAAAATAAGCTTGTTGAAAGCATGCTGCAAAATATTTTGTATAATTTTCGCTAACTCTTCAACTTCAACTGACTGCCTGTCTGTCTGTCTGTCTGTCTGTCTGTCTCAATGTGTGTGTGTGTGTGTGTATTTTGTGTGTTTGCTGGGAAAAGTTTTTGCGGCACATGCAAATGAAATGGAAAACACTTGAGCAAAAACTCTAAGCTGCTAGGATGCGACCTGTATGTGTGTGTGTGTGTGTGTGTGTGTGTGTGTGCTTTGCATTTGCCTGATTTTGGGCTGCAGCAAATGTTGCATTAGATTGTTGATTATGTAAAAATTGCATTAAAGCTGCGGGCGGTCGGGGCTTTCTAAAGGATTTTAAGTGTCTGCCTGCTGATTTCGTTGCTGCAGCAGCAGCAGCAGCAGCAGCAGCAGCAGGAGCAGTTGCTGCCTTTGAAGTAGGCAATCCCACTGGCAGACAATCATAATAGAGTCTCAGGTGTGCCAGAACTCTCGCCCAGACTTTGTCCACAGAGGGTAAGCTACACGAGCTGTTTAAGCAGCCGGGCCAACAAACTGTTTATTGCCACAGGAAGAAGGGCCATGGATGGGGCGGTGGTGGAGGAGGCAGAAGGCGGACGGATGTAGGCTAGTCTGCCTGGCAAAGAGATTAACTGGACATGCAATTTGCTGAGCACACAAACGGCATTCAGATACTCAAATAACTATACTATATATATATATATATGTATATATATGTATATATATATATACAGTCGCAGCTCCGTCAATTGAAAGGGCAGACAGAATCGAACAGATACAGAAACAGAAACAGGAACAGGAACAGGAACAGGCACGTAACGAATTTAAAGTGTCTTGCCCGTTATATTCGTGTTCGTGTTCGTGTTCGTGTAGGATGTCAGCTCAAATGTCCGACATTCAGTTGCCATTGCCATCCATTTGCGACAAACAGACAGACAGACAGACTGACAGACAGACAGACTGACGGAGCCACTACCTGCAATTTGTAGACAAAAAATGAGCTATGTTTTGGTCCCACCCAGCTCAGCTCAACTCAGCTCAGTTCAGTTCAAGGCTAGGCGAGCGAATCGTGCCTTTTGTTTATCGCTTCGACAGCCACCTCGAGGCACGTTACGAGGCGTCACTGCTCGGCTGGGCGGAGGACTCAGTCGAATATTTGGAAGGGGTGAAAAGCTCTTGCAGTGTCATAAATATTAGAGGCTCGTCGTCGGGCATAACGGCAACTGCGACACCAACACCAACACCGACACAAATACGCAGCCGTTAATGCCAACTCCAACTCCAACTCCAAGTCCAACATGGTCGTGTGGCACACACAAAGATACAAAAGCGCAGATAGACAAACAGATTGTGGCCTGAAGTGTTGTGGCGTGTCGTGTGTCCAGATGGAAATGGAGAAGGCAACCGGTTAACTAAAGAGCGACCTGAAGTGGATTGTAGGAGGCAGGACTGCAGGATGCAGTGCAGCAGCTGATTGCCACTTGACCGCATTGAAATAAAATATGCTGTCACAGTGGGTGCAATATGTCATTGGTTTTGTTGTTGTTGTGTTGTTATTAGAGCATTCAATAAATTTAGTTCACAATTTAAAGCTAAGCTTAACAATGAAACCAATTACAATATTATATTACACTTACCTCATGTAAATCGAGAGTATGTCTACTCATTGCTAAATTCTTATCTGTACTGTGCTATTATTATATAAATTGAAAAGAAAAAAAAATGCTGATAAAGGCTCGTTCTCGCTGTCCATCTCTGGCCGGGATGGATGGCCATCTGTCCTGGCGTCTGTGCCCCCCGAGGTGTATCGGTGGACAGCGCTGTGCGAAATATTACACGCAATTTTCATGCCGACACTTTGCATCTGAGGAAAACGGAAATGGTTGCGCGGCTGGCCGACATATTAAAAATGAGTGACAGCATTTCATTAGTGGGCAGTGGGGGGTTTGATCAGGGGATGCGGCAGATGCGGCAGATGCGGCAATCAATGTTGTCGACATGAAATGCAAAGTAATTTACCAACACCACCGCTTCACATCAATTTTTGGCTGATAATGGTCCAAAAATAGTCAACCATTTTATATGTATATTGGCCAACGTTGCCTAACGTGTTCCTCTTGATTTCTATCATTGCCAAACAGAAAACGCACAGGACAACTGAAGGAGGGACAGAGACACAGACAGTTGCTAATCGATTGGTGATTGGGCCAAGAGAAGGAAATAAAAACAACAGTTGGCTAGAATGGCGCACTCAAAGGTAATACTGAAGATACTGTTCTCGTTGTGCGTGTGGTCCTTTGTGATCATTGGGCTGTTCAAGATGCATGGCACAAATCTAGTGCCACAGGATTATCACCAGATGCCGGCCGACTACCAGCAGCTGCCGCTCAACGGGCGCAGTCTGCTGCAAAAGGATATGCTGCGCTATGCGGAAACCACGTCTACCACAACCGATCACTTCGATCCCAGCGAAATACTCGTCGACAATCGCACAGGTGAGCTGGCGAGCAATCAAAGCTTGAAATATTAAATCAATCAATCAATTTGGTTGACAATCATTTGTATTATTTTTTTTTTTATTTTTTTTTTTTGGCAACTCTTGCAGCCATGGACGATGATCAGCTGGTGCGCGACGTGGAGTCAAGGATACCATCGCTACCGATCGCCTACTGGAGCAAGAACAAAAACTTTCTACAACAGAAGTCAGCGACATGCGCCAAATATCCATCGATCTTTGAGCTGGAGTTCAACAACATTTACTGGCAAACGTTGCGCACATCGAACGGCACCTTTCAGCTATTTGGGGCCTACTATGATATCCGTCGCACCTCGCTGCTGGGGCCGACTGTCCGCATTCTGGGCATGATCGATCGGATCGAGCCGAAGGTGAAGACCTACTGTCAGTTCTGGTTCGATGGCCAGAAGGAGCCGTTTATTGTGAAGACGTTCGAGTACAAGTACATCTGGTACAACAAGTGGGGCAACTACAAGCAGGGCATCTATCAGCCATATCTGATTGCCTGCCAGATACCAAAGCCCTTCCACGGCGTCGTTCCCAGCTCCGTGTCAATGGTGGAGAAGGAGTGCGATACGGCCACCAATAATTTGCGTGTCATCTACAATCGTCCGCCGGATGATCAGAAGAAGGGTTTCGCTGTTTGCGTTAAGGGTCTGGACTTTCTATATGATGATCTGAGCGTTCGACTGATCGAATGGATCGAGATGCTCAACATATTGGGTGCCGACAAGATCTATTTTTATAATCTGCAGGTCCATCCGAATATCACCAAGGTACTTAGCCATTATGAGCAGGAGGGCAAGGTGCAAGTGATACCATTAACGCTGCCCGGTGGCCAGCCGAATGTGCCCGGCTTCCAGCATCTCTATCTGACCAAGAAGACCAATCATAAGCGACAGAACGAGGTGATACCCTACAATGACTGCCTGTACAAGAATCTATATCTGTACGACTACATTGCCCTGCTGGACATTGACGAGGTGATCATGCCCAAGGGTAATTCCATATTGTGGTCCGAACTGATGGAGAAGGTGCGTCCAGAGTCATTGAAATTCAAACCGGACGGCTACCACAGCTACAACTTCCGCAACGTTTACTTCCTGGACGATCAGCAGCATGAGCATGGCTGGCACAAGGATATACCCAAGTATATGCATATGTTGCAGCATGTGCATCGGGCCAAGAACTATACGAAGCCCAATCAGTATGTCAAGTGCTTTCACGATCCGGAGCGCGTGCTGACGCTGCACAATCACTTTCCGCTTAGCTGTCTGGGCGGTGTTTGCAAATCGTATCCGGTGGATACACAGGATGCACAGCTGCAGCATTATCGCGCCGATTGCGTCAAAACGCTGAAGAAGAGTTGCGAGGAGTATCGCGAGAATTCGGTCGAGGACAAAACAATATGGAAGTACAAGGATGAGCTCATTAGGCGCACCATTAAAACGCTCGAGACGCTTGGCTTCTTCAGGCGAAGCGGCACCGGCGCCGGTTTCGGTGGCAGCAGCAGCGGCCTTGGCGGTGGCGCCACAACACACTCAACGGAAAGGTGATTCGCGCTACTCGGCAGCTGGTCGTGGCCCTGGCTGCCAGTGACGCCCTACATCGAACCAGCGGCACCTGGCCCACTCGGCAACGAGGAGTTTTTTGTCTAGTAAGACTTGGATATCAATATCTAATAGCGAGAGTGTAAGAGAGAGAGAGAGAGAGAGAGAGAGAGGAGAGAGATAGGGATCCTTGCCGTCGCAGAAACCGTAATCGAACTCAAATCCAAAACTTGAACCCGTCCCCCCGCAGCCCTGAGCTCGATTTGTTCATTTTCTGTATTATAGAAGTGTTTTTTTTTTTTTACCAATTAATATTATTATTTTGTAGTATTCTGTAATTTGTAATTCCCCCACAATATATATATATATATATATATATATTATTTTTTAGTTAGTTCATATTATAAAGTTATTCTTGATATGTGTATGCTCTTATCGACTACTTATTACTTTATTACTATATATATATATATATATATATATATATACATATACATACATATATATATGTATATGTATATATATATATATACGCACTTTCGTATGGCTAGTGTAAAAAAAGCGGATGAAAACACTTTTAAAATTGTGCCTTCAACTTTAAATTGTAGTGTGTAGGGTTTTAGATCAACGACTCTTCAGGTGTTCCGTCACTTGACTATGTATACATACATATGTACATATGCATACATACATTTGTACATGCGTATGTTGTCATATATGTATGTATAAATGTACCTATACCTATGTATATGTATGCACATGTATAATTGCTTATTGGGCGCTTGCCCAACAAAAACAAAAACAAAAGAAAAAGAAACAGAAAAAGAAAGAACAACAAAAATAACAAATACATTTGTTTATAAACATTACTGTATTCACAAAACACGTTACAAAATACAAGCCCAATTTATGAGTTATGAGTTATGAGTGGATAACACAAGCGAAAGGTATAAGAACATGAAAGTAATATACAAGAATGAAGAAAACCTATACTAAGTTCAAGACTGATGACGTTTATTAATAATTAGATACAATTGCAAAAGCCCTTGGAAAACAAAAACGAAATTATGTGAAATTGAAAGAAATTTCCAAAATTTATTTCAAATTATGTGCATAAGCAAAAAAAAACAAAAAAAAAAACATTTCAATTGATATTATGTATTAACTAACTAGTTAGTATTTGTTGTGGCTGCTCGCCCAGCCGCTTCTAACTGTATTTAGCTAACGACAACAACAACAAAAAAAAATAAGAAGAAAAAAAACTATATCACTAAATGCTAAGCAAAAATCCGAACAAAAACAAGAATTGTACATAGTTAAATTGTTAAAAAGAAAACCTAGACATACTTTATATATATGCATATAAAATAATATCATGTACTGTAAATATTACTTTTATTTCATTCTTGTTCAAGGATAAAACTAAAGTAGTATTTATAGTTGGCACATGCATAATTCAACATTTGCATCTACTTTTGGCAAGCTGCTCAATTAAATATAGTTAGCCTTGCAATTTTTGAGTGTATTTTATTTTGTTTGAGACCATTTTAATCCTATACTTTTTAAGTTCAGTTATTTTGTGCACCTTTTCATATCGTTGTTTCACTTGCACTTTCATTTTCATTTTATTTATTTATTTATGATTTCTTTTATTTTATATTGATCCATTGTACATACAAATTGGACATTCTTATTTAATATCGATTTTGTGTTCATTTTCTGTCGATTCAATTTTCACAATTTTTTATATTTTTATTTTATTCAATTCCACGTTATTTTGCAGTTTAGTCAAATTGTTGGAACTAAAAGAAGATAGAGTTATTTGCACTTAGTATAAGCGTTGAATTGTATGGGACGTACTATATATTTATATATAGTGCATATATACACCAGGTTGCAGATACATAAACTATTGCACTAGATCACATAGATCTACAATTAAATTTAAATATATATATATATATATATATATACATAAATAGATAAACATATACATATACATAATTACAATATATTGTATTGTATACATAAATGTATTAATGTTAGTTGATAATTATATGATGAAACCCAATTTTTTTTTGCATAGCTAATAACAATTGATATGAGAAAAAGTGATTAAAGAATAAAATTTTAAAAATTGTACATTCTCCAACCTGTTTTTTGTTTAAATTAAATAGTTGCATCTAATTAAGTATTTCTCTAGCAAATAGCTGCCGACTCTTCTATATTATGTATACACAGATTACGAAAAGCCTCAATTAAGATTCGACTGGAGTTGTACAGACTTAGTTAAAGCACACTCGATCAGAGTTCAAATTACTTAGCACTAAGTCTGTTTAAGTTTTGGCATCGCACTCATTTAAGTAACCGCTTAAACTGTTCATAGTTAAACAAAACAGATAAATTCATTCGTTGGCATCGCCGTGACGATGGAATTTCTGCCGTTGACTTCAATTCAACGTAGTAGGCCAAATGGTTTCGCACTGCAGTTAAGCACAAGTATACTACTTAGCCCGTTGAAGATGTCCAAAACTGAGGCATGCAAACACAGATTCACACACACACACACACACACACAAGAACCAGGCAGACTTACACTTGAATAGAGACAGTATACCGAAGACTTTTCCAGTTGAATAGTTAGCTATCCAGGCACCTTGGCAGAAACGTGGCATCGTTGCTCACAGCGCGTCCAGAGTGGCAAGACGTGAGATACAAAACTTCTAAGAATGTAAACAACAAAGCATTTATTCTCGGGCATAAATGAATCCACTTACGCACAACTTGGCGAGGAATGCGCAGTGCCCACAGATGGCAGCAGCAGCAATCGGAGCACCCAGCCACACAGCCAGCCAGCCTGCCAGCCAGCCTGCCAGCCAGCCAGCCATTCAGCCAGTCAGACAGCCTGGCAGGACCTAAAGCCAATGCACACAGAAAGTTGTGGGCAAGAAAGCGATGAAAAGGATGCAAACTACAACAATAACAACAAATAAATAAGAGAAGTTACAGGGTATTTTTGGGGCTCACACAGCGGCAGGCGGTGTGGCAGGTTGGAGTTGGAGGATAGCTGGAACCAAAGAACAAAATTTGTATAAACGCAACTTAAGTGAGCATTAAACACGCTCCACTAAAGGACTCCTGCCGGAGAGGTCCCTTTCGAAACGGTGGCGCTTAACTTGGTTAATAAACATTACCAACGCCACAAAAACCATTTACGTGAACTATTAAAATTCCGAAGCGTTATTTTAGTTGCCTTCGCCTTGTTTCACGATTATGTTTATTTATATGGCAGCAGGCACAAGAGACGCACACCACCATCCACACACCCATATCCACACACCCATATCCACACACCCACATCCACACCCATATATGTATGTACATAAGATGCTGATGGAGACTCTATGCGAGAGAGATGAAAACCCCTTTTGGTTTTGCATGTGCGTCAGCCGTTAAGTGAAATCTCATCGCAGCTTTAAGTAAGTCCATATATCCTTTTATGAATGCCTATTAAGCGGCTCAGAGGCTGGGGCTTCTTAATGCATCTGCTGTTTGGGCCAAAGGATTCTTGTTGAATTTATGGACCATCATTTCGGCCTCATATACTCGTCCATTTGCAGCAGCAAACGACTAAAAACTGGCAGGTGAGTCTGTCAAGCCGTTCATCGACCAGCATATATATATATATATATATATATATATATACATATATATATTTGCATTTATTTCACTTTAGCATATATGTTGACATTTGGTGCAACAAGAATGATTTATAAATGATTAATAATACAATTTGGAGCGCAGACTTGATGCTAAAATTGGACGGGGCCAACGTCATTGGGCAAATGCAAATGCAAATGCCGGAAAACTAATTAAAATCCACTATAGGATCGCCGGGCAGCATATTTATAATGCATGCGCATAAATCCAGAATTAAGCACTCCGCATACGCATTAAAACGCATGCAAAAATAAAATGTGCAATTACGTTACAATTTCCATATATGCCTGCAAATGTATGCGTATGTGTGTATGTGCTCGTATATAGAAATCCAGCTAAATTGAGCCATTTACCTAGCAGGCAAATATTCAAATCCTTCAAGTGCTCTGCATTTTAACAGCCGTCTAATTTAATGTGTAGCGTTTTTTATTTAGTACGTGGCCCAAGTTTCAAATGATTTCAATTTGCTGAATAGTTTCTCAGACTGTTATTTATCATTAGACAATTTGTTGTCTGAATGCGCCTCTTACTTAAATAATGAATTTCCGGCCTTAGTATTTAGTCATATTTTAAAGGTTAAGTTTATTTGTTGCGCCTCTTCCTCTACTCTTATTTTAATATACTTTTCTTTTTAGTATGTCGACGAACAACAAAACGGATCTTTTTAGGCTCTGCTGCAATGATAAAAGTGGGATCTGTGTGTCAATCTGATTGAAATAATGTTGAAAAGCGCATTTTGTTTTCAAGTGTGGTAGCCACTCCTCACTGCAAAGTTCTTTTTTCCCAACGTTTTTGGCGGTAAAAAACAAAAAAAAAACACGAGAACCACATGAAATCCATGCAGTTGGCCAGTTTTGCTGATTTGTCGGTTGATATGCATAAAACCCATTGCGGTTGCGAGCCCATTACAGTTTTGAAACTCTACTGCATTTTGAAAGTGTATAAATTTATGTAAATGTTACAGCGCTTATTCTGAAAGTAACAAAACAATATTTAAAAAAAGGAAAGTTCTCCCTTAATTTGATTTTTCGCTCTGATATAAATAGTATTATTTTTAGTATAAAATCTCAAAGCTGGAAAAGTATATATAAATATATATATTATTACCAATACATATTCCTATTCCTCATCATATTATTATTGATATTTGTATTTATACTCCTATATTATTACATATTATTGCATACATTGCTGGCTAACCAATCAACTGCCAGCTAAACAGTAGCATTTTGACCATAGGGATATGATCAGATGGTCAAAATTACTCACTCGATTCCCACACCCACACCCACATCAACAACCACTCAAAAGTCCACACAGAGACACACTCACAAATGCATATTGAGGTACTCATGTGCATGTGTCGCTTGATTTTTGCCTGCGTATTCAATGCAATTGTGTACCTAAATGTGTATACATTTAAATGTGTGTGCCAGAGAGGGATAGAGGGAGTGAGAGAGAGAGAGAGAGAGAGAGAGAGAGTTACCGGCATACCAAACAGGATACACTAATTGCATGTAAGTGTAGACGCATGTGTGTAGGAGGCAAATTGCAAAGTAAGTCGCGGCGTCAATCATGGCTCTCAGCAGTTGGTTAGACTGCACCACATCCATCCCTCACTTCCTTCCCCTCCAACTGGTTAGCCCGACACACTCGCACAATATTATTGCTCGCAATCTAATTAACCGCATTGATAGAAACGGAAAGCAGCTCTGCATCGGAAGCGAATTTCGTCCGCCCTCTGCTGCATTTCCACCTAATCCTTGTTTTCAATATTTGCTCCTCATTTTGTTGGGATGTTTGCCAGTTCAAGCTTTAATTACAACCACATGCACACACACACACACACACACACACACAGTCACAGTCACAGTCAATTATAGCACACATCTATGCTTAA